CGGGTGATTCTCTGCATGAGGTCAGCTCGTTTCTGGAGAGTCTCCTCCTGTTCTGCATTATTTAACTCCCAGACTGCTGGATAATCAGTAGATCTCTGTATAGTTATCTGCACCTCTCTGACCTTTCTAAGACGTGGTGCTTAGTATTTACTCGGACGCAACAGTTATGATGGTTAAAAGTGAAGTCCATAGAAATGTTTGTAAACACAACATTCAATCTAAGCCCCTCCTCCTAGGCTCATCACCCCCTGCAGAACAACTCCACGTCCACGGGTAAAAGACAACACAAGGTCCACCCTTGTTTTAGAACGAGCTTTATCCGCTTGGTGTTTCACCTCGATGTCCTAAATGTCTGATCATATAGTAAGGTCCTACTGAGGGCTCCTTTAGACGTTGCTTCAGGAGTTTTCTGATTCTCCGTATTTGTGACTCTGTTGAGTGACTTGTCTTAACTAGAGGAGGATATCACGAGAACGTGGTGAAGCTGGTTTAATGAGGCATGTGAGTAAAGGTTAATGCACATTACTGTTTAGACTGAACTGTTTTTGGATTGAGCTCACCTGATTAATAATAACCTTCGTACCTCCACAGCAGAACGTGGGCTAACTTGAACATGCTTCAATCTTTACATGAGCCTGGAAAGCTGCCTCGATTTATTCAAAGATTCAGAACAAATCATTGTTAACAAGTCTGACCTTTCCATTCCTTCTTTACGTCTCAGGGTTCTCCATAACTACATGCTGTGGCGTATCGTGGCGGCGCTCAGCGAACACCTGTCCACCGCCTTCCGCAGCACCATCCACGAGTTTTCCCGGGAGATCGACGGCACGGAGCAGCAGCTGGAGCTGGGCCGGCTCTGCCTCACTCAGGCCAACAAACACTTTGGCATGGCGCTGGGAGCCTTGTTCGTGCAGCAGCACTTCTCCTCACAGAGCAAAGCCAAGGTATGGGGGGGGACTACATGGTGGGGGGGGGACAGTTTGGTGGTTTATCTCCGGCATACTGGACCAGGTGTTGTCAGGAATCTTTGCACCACGGACAGAATCGTCAGGTGAGACTGACATAATACCAGAATTTTAAACTTCAAAACAAAGCTAATAAAACGTCTGCACACAGTCGGAGGTCAGACCAGAAGATGTTTCTCTGTGAGGATGCTCACCGTGTCAGATTAAGATCGTGGAGCGATTCATTTATGCCATGACTCGACCGACAGACTGCACGGTGGTACCAGACTAATCAAAACGACCGACATGATGTGTTAGAAGGAAGAGGGGCGGGGCTAGACGACGCCATGAAAGAAGACTGTAAACAGAACAAAACTGTTGTTTCCAGCGCTCGACAAACTTTTCCTCTGTGTTATAATGCCATCTCTCAGCAACGACTTCATCATCAGCATTGTTTGTTTACGCTTGTGAGTTTTGTCATTTTCAAGGCCAACTGTCCCCGAAACCAGACATCTGTTGGACCGGGCTTTAACCGTGCTTATTAACTTCACTATGTTTAATCTAGAAACAGAGATGGAGCTGCAGCCTTATGCCTTCTTGCAAATAACTACAACATGCCAACCCGTAAAATCAGCCGCGCCCATAATTATGCAAATATATTAATATTTCTTATCCTTAATGGAGCAATATATATCTCTGACACCTAGTGTCTAAAATGGGTACTGTAGTCCAGTCCAGTCTGATCATATTGTAAGGTCACTTTATCATTTCACTCACTACACATCTCACTGATTGGACCTTTAAACCTCCATGGTGACAACATGTTTCATGATATTTCTCCCTTTTTTGTGCAGCTGGTACTTTTTCTTTCTCTCTGGTTGCAGTGCAGAGACATCCAGCTGTATTTTTGACATGGGAAGATGATTTTGATTAATTTCTGTTCTGGGATTTAGGAATTCAATCAACGTCAATCACCACTACCTCTCCCTCACACCTCTTTTCTTTCTATTTCGCCCTCAGCCCAGGTCACTCCCTGTTAATCCCCCGCCTCTCACCTTTGATCCCCCCCTCTTGGTTCACCTTAATCCTTCCCCTCGATGTATTGTTATCTCAGCTCGTGTCCACTGCAGGACATGGGGATGTGGTTCCCAATGAGATTTCTCACCTCTGTAACCTCCTGCTCTTTCTTTAAGCCCTCCATCATCTCCCTTTCATCATCGTCTCCGCACACTCTCACGGTCCACCCGCCACGCTTTTATCTTACACCCAGCTGCCTCTCTTCTTCTTCTTCTTCTCTTAAAACTTTTAAATCTCTGCCAAAGCTCCTCGCTATGAAGCATAAAGACACTTTTACACGACTTCTGGGGGCTAATGACTCTCAGCGTTCTACACCTTAATTGAAATTTAAGTTCCCATGCTCCCGATGTCTGGTTGCAGATTCTGCTCAGATATGAAGTTTAAATCTCAGAAACGCTTCAAGCTAGTAGAGCCTCACTGATGAATGTAGGAACAGAGAGGATGATGGGGGAAGACGGCAACAGTGAGGATGATTATGAAACTATCAGGACGATTCTGTGTAAGCTCTACAGAGTGTCTACTGGGGAACGCCATTACCCACGCTCAGTTTGTCATTAGCCCAACGTCGTAGTTTGAATTCAGTACGACATCATGATATGAGGTCGGACTGATGTCCCGATTTCCATACATTGTCCGTACATATCGTAAATGTTGGTGAATGTCATCAGCCCGTCATCATTAAGTTACGTCAGATGGAGTGTGATCACAATTCTCCTTTAAAGTGAGGAATTTAGATTTTTGCGTCCCCTTGTGGACAAAGCTGCACTTCTCCCCTCTTTGTGTGAAAGTTGTTTAAAGATTTCTTTTTGGGCTTTTTGTGCCTCTATTGTAGAGTTAGGATAGTGGATAGAGTCGGAAATCAGGGAAAGAAGTCATTTAAGGATACATTTCCAATAGAAAAGGACAGCTGTCATTAAAAGTAACCCATGAACACCAAGATTCCTTCAAGTGTTTGTGTCGTCGTGTCGGCATGTCGGCTTGTCCCCACCCCCCCCCAACGCTGTAAATCTAGGGGAAACACTGAATCATGTAGAAAACTCCTCACAGGAGCTTTAAGATCATTCACTTTGCAGCTCTTACCTTCCTCTCCTCAAAGACTGAACCAGGAATCAGTATTTCACTCTGCAGACTGGGAGTTGTAGTTTTACCTCGACTCTGACTTTTGAGTTTGTAGTATATCTTCTGGTTAATAAAATCACATTTAATTTACTTCCACTTCTTTCTTTCCCTTCCTCTGATATTGTCAGATCATTTAAAACAAACAATTTGAGTTGGAGGAAGTCTCTCTTTTGTTGATATTTCAGGCATGAAGCAGATGTTTGTTAAAAACATACAGAACCATCAAACAAAGCTGCGTGGTGTCTGCAGCTGGAGAATGAAACCGCCGTGTGTGAAATCAAAGGTTCAGTGATGGGTGGATGATTTGACTCATGCTTTGTGTTTCTCGTTGGGTCAGTGGTGGTCACATTTTTAATGTTGTGAATTCAAACACAAAACAAACACCTGATGTGTGTATTCACGACTCACTGAGGCTGCTGGTCCAGGACAGATTTACCATCATCTGGATCATTGTGTGTGGTTTAAAACTCTGAACACAAAGCCACGAGCTCCTGTCAGTGGACGAATGAAACGTCTTGCAGCCTGATATTAATCCAAGTAATCCTCCAGTGTGTGATGTCACTACGATTATTTTACTGCTCCTCATCGAGTCAGAGCCTCCTCGATCTGGAATCTTAAATATCCAACATGTCTGATATTTATGATTCCAGACTGGGCTGCCTCTGACTGAATACCGGCAGCAGCCAATGAGAGCGAGCAGACCGGGAAGCGACCGCTTTAACAGATCTCAAACATGGCGACGAACATAAACACACCTGACCCCTGAGCCCAGTGGAATACTGAAGAAGAGCAGTTTGAGCTGACCACGACCATCATCCTCCATATTTGTTTTTCTCCTGAAGTCACGTTTGATCACGTGAGATTATGTGAGATCTTGTGTCTGTGGAGTCGTGACTACAAACAGCAGGTGTGTGTTCTCGTGGTCTGAGTCGTCCCGTGTGGCTTTCAGAGGATTATAAAGTTATAGATATAAACTGATGTCCTGGTCGTCTTCGGGCTCTTGAACTCCCTAAACTTTCTTTATGTTACAGAAACTGATCCACTATCGTTGTCTACAGGGCGCTCAAACCTCTAACACTATGAATCCTCACTCTTCAGGTTCAGGAGCTGGTGGAGGACATAAAGCACTCCCTGGACCTCCGGCTGCAGGAGCTGGACTGGATGGACGAAGCCACCAAGGAGGCGGCCAGAGCAAAGGTAGAGAGCATCGCTCAGCGTCTGCAAACACGAGTCCCCGCCAGATCCCATTAAGACCTCCAGAGGATTTAATTCTTTCTCTGCAAACTCCTTTCTTTCTGGAGGGTTTGATTGATTGCTTGGTTAGATGGAAGTGTGTGATAGAATACATCAAGGGCTTGACATTGAGAAGTGGGGATTGCTTAATCCAGATCTCTCTGTGGTCCTGGTTTAGGGTCTGCATGGCAAGATATCCCCCCTAATACTCAAACGATCTGCAGTTATAATCCTTTTAGAGCGCCCTGCTGCAGAGAAAGAGCCGCCTGTAATCCTGTTACATTGGGTTAGCTTGATTAGTGTGTGTGTGTGTTTGTGTGTGTGTGTGTGTGTGTGTGTGTGTGTGTGTGTGTGTGTGTGTGCGTGCGCGTGTGTGTGTGTGTGTGTGTGTGCGTGCGCGTGCGTGCGTGTGTGTGTGCGTGTGTGGGTTATGCTCCTCTTCATCACTCTTCTTCTCTCCCAGTTGAAGCACATGATGGTGATGACGGGTTACCCCGACTTCCTGCTCAAACCTGAACTCATCGATAACGAGTACGGGGTGAGTCACGAGATATTTCACGTCGTCCTCACAACATCCCATCTCTCTCTCTCTCTCTCTCTCTCTCTCTCTCTCTCTCTCTCTCTCTCTCTCTGGACCCTGGACCCTTTTTACGGCCGATGTCATGATGATGTCACAGTGAGCAAAACGAAGCTAAACTCTTTTGACATTTTGTATTGCTGTCTGATATGAGTGAGAATTACTAAATCCTTTATAGTTGCCTCAACAGTAGCTCCGCCCACTTTTTATCACGGCTCTGGTTCCTAAAGTAAATCTGTATATAAAGAGAATGAAGCATGTTACCATGACAACCCCAACACTCCTGACTATAAAACATTTGATTCAGAGCTAAAACAGCGTTACAAAACAGAGATAAAGGCAAAGGTACAGGACTGTGAACATTATTTTCCAGAGTCAAGAAACTACAAAATGAGCCCTCTTCTTCTTCAGTGAAACTTTAGTTGTCGTGTCCATACACGTATTGTAATATCTTGTAGTTTGTGATGTTTTAATATCCGTTCACAAGAGGGGCAGGAAACATGGTAACAGCGAGCTCAACCAATCAGAGACGTTGCTGTGACACTCTACGGTTGTGGGTAATGTAGTTCTTTTCCCCAATATCGGGAATAAACCGTGTTGTTCTTAAAGGTTGATATCAGACGAACTCGTGTCTCCTTCAGGAGCATAAACCATCGTCTCACACTCAGGTATCTCGTGGTCAGTCTACCTGTGATGGTTATGACATCATAATAATCAAATCTGCTATGGAGAAAATGAATGGAGCCCAAAATGTTGAGCCCTTTAGTTAAATCATTGTATCCCACAATGCACTGGGAAAAAGTCATGAGTCATGCGTCACTAATAAGGCGCATTGAAAAAGTTTCCTGCATCATTGCTGTTTGCACAAAGTTCCTCCTCACATCACGCTGAATCTCCTCTGGCTGTTTCCTGCTCAGACGATGGAGCACAGTTAGCGCTACAGAACATCTGCACACGTTTGATACTTTAGACAAACTGAAGCACATCTGGCTCGTGACACTAAAAGCACCAACAGAAGCAGGAATTGCAAACTGTCAAGTTGAAGGATGGCCGTGTTGAAAATGTAGCTCGAATGAGATTTCTTTTATGATAATTTTCTGCAAAGGAATTTTAAACTGCGAAAAAAGTCTGAAATCATTACAGTGGATGGCTTTAGTCTGCAGGAGCAGGACACGTTGTCATGGCTACAGCAATCATAACACGTCCACTACGAGCTCTTGTTTCTGCCTTAGACAGAATCTGTCATTTCAAAATTAGGTAACATGACTGAGAGTGTCTTTAAAGGTCACATATTCTCCTCCTCTTCAACCAGTTTAAATAAGTCTCAGAGCTCCTCAAAACATGTGTGTGAAGTTTCTTGTTCTAAATCCACTCTGATCCTGTATTTGATCACGACTATAAACCCCTCTATTTCAGCCCTGCTCAGAACAGACTGTTTCTGTGTCTGTACCTTTAAATGTAAATGATCTGTGTCTGACCACGCCCCCTCTCTGGAAGGGCTTGGGTGTTTTGGGCTTTCTCGCTCCATGTCCTATTATTTACAGTGAGAAGGCAGACTCGGGGCAGAACAAACACCTAGCTGTGGGAGTGTCACCCACCTGGGGGAGGGGTTACTGCCCTTTGTGATGTTATGATGGGAAAATCGCCAAACGGCCTGTTTGAGCACACATTTTCTGAAAAGTGGAGCAGGTAAAAGACGGAGAGGATGGACGTTTCTCTTCATTGGGGGGTTTGTAGACGGACTAGAGACACATATTAGAGTTAGAGAAATATGGTGAAGTGGATTGTACAGAATATGTTACCTTTAAAGTCACTTTTGTAACATTCTGAACCAGCTGGCAGGTTTTTTGGTCTTTCAAGACTTTTGACGTAGCAGGTCGTTGCTGCTCTTCCATCGACTCAACCTGTTAGTGAGTTAGTAATTAAAGGGTTAACTGGAATATGACGCAGTAACTGGGAAAGGTAGCGTGAGACCTACAGCGCCGTGTTTCTGTGGAGGTTAAAGGACTTAGTTTGATCTCTGAATCTGTTCTCATGTTTCCCTTTGTACTCTCTCTCAGCGGTCACACTCTCGTCTGTATCTCTGTTTTCAGTTCGACGTGGACGAAAAGACGTACTTCAAGAACATCCTCAACAGCATCAAGTTTAACATCAAGCTGTCGGTGAAGAAGATCCATGAAGAGGTGGACAAAACCACGTGAGTGTCACATCTCCTCACATCTCCTCAGCTGCTGCAGCCGCTGTCTTCATCTCAGCTCGACGACACGAGCGATGCAAAGCAATTACAGATGCTTAATTGATGCTCCGTCCAGCCCGAGCTCTGCAGCTGAGGCTCACACTGGACGCTGCCTGCTCACCAGTTTGAATGTTTGAGCCTCTGAAATGTTTGACATGCTGAACATGTGTCCCCCAGAATCCCTTTCTGGTTTGACATGTTTGTTGATGCGCCTCTAAATTTACCCGACAGATACCAGAGCGATGCACACCGCCACAGAAATCCATTTGATTTACTTATCTGTCTCAGCCAGGTTGCAGCAAAGTGCTCTGGGACATGTGGTTCTTTTTCTGTTCGACACACAGCCCTGTATGTTTGCATGAAGTGCCTCTCTGCTGTGACAACACGTTACAGTCACATTCATATTCAAAGGGTCCCAGAACATCTGTATCACGAGGCCACACGCAACGCCCCGAGAGCTACGGCTCACAATCCTCCTCTATCGCCCAAAAAGTGAACTCTCATCACGAGGCCCGTCTTATCACCAGGAAATAAATAAAGAACCAAACGCACCTCCCCCTCCTCCTCCTCCTCTTCATCCTCCCCCTCTTCTCCCTCCTCCTCTCCCTCCTCCTCCTGTCCCTCCTCCTCCTCCTCCTCCTCTTCCTCCTACTCTCCCTCCTCCTTCTCCTCCTCTCCCTCCTCCTCCTCCCTCCCCCCCATTCCCCTATCTCTCCACAGTCCATCCATCTCTTACTCCTACAACAACAAGGGCATCTCAGACTCTCCGAGTCGCTCGTTTGGGGGGATTTTGTGCCGATCGATTGGTCCGGCTTAAGTGGATTACCATAAAGGAACTGTCTGCGGCTTCATATGCAGAGGCGAACAGTTTGAGCCATGAGGCCACACACGCTGAATATTTCTCACCGGGGGGTTTAGAGGGCGAGATAGACGTCGAGGTGTTTGGGATTCTGATCAGGATTGGTGTGCGTCTCCAGAAGTTAGTGTGTGTGTGTGTGTGTGTGTGTGGTGTGTGTGTGTGTGTGTGTGTGTGTGTGTGTGTGTGTGTGTGTGTGTGTGTGTTGTGTGTGTGTGTGTGTGTGTGTGTGTGTGTGTGTGTGTGTGTGTGTGTGTCTGTGTGTGTGTGTGTGTGTGTTTGAGTGTGTGTGTGTGTGTGTGTGTGTGTGTGTGTGTGTGTGTGTGTGTGTGTGTGTCTCTTTAAATCTCTGCCTGTGTGTCTCCTCAGGTGGCTCCTCCCTCCTCAGGCCCTTAATGCTTACTACCTCCCTAACAAGAACCAAATGGGTGAGTGTGTGCCTCGTCATCAGACGTGCTGATATTTGTTCGTCATCTTTATTCCACTCTCTTCATCCGTCTCCCGTTGTCATTCTGCTCTGCGACCCTGACTGCATTAGTTACACACAATTACACTGTGTTTACGACGAGTCGAACAGGACGGACGCTCACAGAGATAAAGCGTCCAAACATCCTCATATCATGTTCCCTCGCTCTCTCACTTCTCGTACTTAAACCCACCCTGGAGGAAAAACAAGCAGCAACACCTTCTCGGTTTTTAACAGATCTCGCCCTCCTCGCCCTCCTCACCCTCCTCACCCTCCTCGCCCTCCTTCCCTCCTCACCCTCCTCGCCCTCCTCGCCCTCCTTCCCTCCTCGCCCTCCTCACCCTCCTCACCTTCCTCGCCCTCCTTCCCCTCCTCGCCCTCCTCACCCTCCTCACCCTCCTCGTCCTCCTTCCCTCCTCACCCTCCTCGCCCTCCTTCCCCTCCTCGCCCTCCTCACCCTCCTCACCCTCCTCGCTCCTTCCCCTCGCCCTCCTCGCCCTCCTTCCCCTCCTCGCCCTCCTCACCCTCCTCACCCTCCTTCCCCTCCTCGCCCTCCTCACCCTCCTCACCCTCCTCGTCCTCCTTCCCCTCCTCGCCCTCACCCTCGCCCAGGATAGGCCCGCTGTCTGTGTATGCCTGCTGTATCTCTCACCGAAGAATCAATGTTGATGCTCGACAGCCGGAGTTAGACGAACACATTCGTCAGAGCCCCGTGGGTCGAGTTATTTAAGTCGCTCACTTTAACCCTGTGACATCATTCCTCAGCACGGCGTCCATTTTCATACTCAGTGTTTTTAAACTAAATAATGAATAATGCCCTCGTCTTGTACCTCAGTCTCTGTGGCTGATCTGGAATCAGGTTACATTTGAAGATTAAAAGCTTGAGGGTCAGTGTGCAGCGTGCAGCGCGCAGCGCATGTGAACCAAAGGAAAGTGTAGACGACGTGCCTTAAAGTCATCCATGTTTCACCGTCTGACCTCCAGCTAATTTGTCTTCTGTAGGTCGTCAGAGGCGTTAGAATAAGTTTCATAAGCAGCTAATCGGTGGGTTACATCAGACAGTGATCAGCTGTTCTCCAGGACTCCATTTTGTGTTTCGCTTTAAATCGACACATCCTGACAGACAGAGAGACTCCGTCATTGTCCTCTAAAGCGGCCTCACATCACGATTTAAGACGGTTTCATATGTTTTTATTCTACGTCTACTTCTTGCCATCTATGTATCAGCCGAGGTCATTCAGTCTGAACTCTGAATCCTCACTGTGTGATGTTCAAACGTGTGTTTTCTTCTCTCCTCCAGTTTTTCCTGCCGGCATCCTGCAGCCCACCCTCTACAACCCCGAGTTCCCTCAGTAAGTAGCCGTCATTCTGTCCTCGCCTGTAGGGACGCAACAACATCCCCACGCCACAACAACAAAGGTCATTACAGGCGACATTAGTCTGGCAAACCTGTGTTTCCCTCAAGTCCCAGCACGCCTGATTAAACCAATTTAACTACCCACCAAGAGCTCAATTACTGAACAAGGTCCCGCTAATGGAACAGGTGTCATTCAGAGGTTGCCTTCCTGAATCTGAGTCCGTGAAGTAATTTGGCGGTGCATGGGAGCAGAGCGCCTCCCGGTCTGCGTCTGTCTCATTTCTGCCTCTCAGAGAAGCTCTTTGTGTTGATGAATTTATGCATTACATTAGAGTAAAAAAACTGTTTAGAACTTTAAATGAGTCATCAATTTAACTTGGAACACACTTTATCTCTGAGCTGCACACAGCTGTTAGCGCTGTCACCTCTCAGTGACAAGGTTCCTGGTTTGAATCCTGAGTCAGGCTGGACTGCTCTGTGGAGTCTGACTGTTCTCCCCGTGAACAACCCCACACCACAGACTGTAAATAATAGTGGACCAAGCCTGAGTGACCGTCTGTTCCTGCAGGGGGCGCTGGAATCCCATCGATGGCGGTCTCCATGCTGGAAATACTGTCTCAGTCTAATTTTCAGTCAACCTAACGACAGGCTGAGAGCTGGAGCTGAGGAGGGTTATAAGACTCCTGACAAACAGTTACACCTCGCCCACCTGTCAATCATGTCAGCTACACGGCTTATTGTGAATAACTCTTATCCTTCATCAAATCAAAACTGATGAGTCATCAAAACATCCACCCCCCCGTACAGTGTGTGTCGATCGCGACATGAGCTAATCAGACCTATATGGTTTTTGAACCAGGCTGTAAACATGTTAATCTCTGCTGTAAAAACAAGCTGTTTAGAATGGGATGTGACTTCCTGTGCTTCTGCAGCCAGCATCTAGTGGACACTCCAGGAACTGCAGGATTTTACACTTCAGCATCAGCTTCAACACTGGAGGTTAATGCTTGGTTCTAGAATGGCGTCTGGAGAGCTGGCCAATCAGAAGAATGTGGGCATGTGGGGAGGTGGGCCATAAAGAGACAGAGAGAAATGAACTCTTTCAGGCAGAGGCTGAAATGAGGGTTTTTACTGACACCAGTATCAGATAAATGAGATCATGTAAAGCTGCTCTAAAGGTTTTACACAACATGAAACATGAGGAGAAGATGGACGATTTAAACAGAGGCAGAGGCAGCGAGGTAATTTGCTATTTTGGACACATTAACTTCTCTGTGACTCATGTTAGAACTCTCCCCAAGTTTATGACCACACGGCACGTACATGATTTAAAAAACCTCAAGACTTTATGAAGGTGGAAGATCAACAGGAAAAGTTTGAGTGTGGCGGTTGAGAAGACGAATGTGCATGTGAAGTAATAAAAAGCAAAGCTCTTCACCTGCTGCTGCTGGTGTTACGTCTGGATCCTGCCAATGCATACAGCAACGAACAAATAGCTTCACTTCCTCCTGCACTCGTACCAACTCCCCTGAGTAATTACACACACACACACACACACACACACCTCTATTAGCAGTTTGTGAAGCCAACATTAGCCTACACGTCTATGTCTTCATTAGAGCTATTCTCTACTATTTCCACTACCTGCTGTCGTGCATGCTGATCGATATTAATTAATGATGTAGTTCGGAGTGTGTGTGTGTGTGTGTGTGTGTGTGTGTGTGTGTGTGTGTGTGTGTGTGTGTGTGTGTGTGTGTGTGTGTGTGTGTGTGTGTGTGTGTGTGTGGTGGGTGGGTGCGAGAGTGTGATTGTGTGTGTGGGAGTGAGACAGTTTATGGGCGGTTAGGACTACTGAAGTAATAACTTCATGGGGACAAACACACAAGCACAAGCACACACATACACACACACACACACACACACACACACACACAACACACACACACACACACACACACACACACACCACACACACACACCTTCACGTTGAGTATAATGAAGCCTCAATCAGCCAGTTAGTTTAAAGTCGGGCTCGGTGTGAGGCGGCGTATCGACTGGCTGTCAGAAAGTCATTTTCAGACGTAGCCATGTGAACTGCCCTCGCTGTGCCCCCTCATCGCTCTCTGTATCTGCACGAGTCGCACAGACAGCACTCCAGCTCGGAACAGGGGTCAAGGAGAGGCGGGGAGCGACAGGAGCACGAGGAGGGGGCACCTGAGGACGGAGAGATAGTAGGTGGGACATAACGTTGGGATGGATCAGGATGGAGAGAGTTATTCTGCCTTCATGTTTGATGCACTCGTACTTATCTTTACAATCAGTGGAACATTTTGAAACCAGGAGGAGGCTACGTCCACTTCTTCTACAGTCCCCGGTTTGAACACAGTGCCTTTAAGTTTCTTTCTTTTGACACAGACCTGATCCACACGGCTCCAGAATTAGATCCCCAGTGCAGCTCCTGTTTCATCTGCTTTGGCTGAGCTGAATAAGCAATGAGGACGACGAGTCAAAACAAGGGAGAGTAATCCCGCGAGCGGACGTTAATGACTCTGAGACACTTCAAATCAATCTGAAGGCACTCTGCGAGCGAGCATACAGAACAAACTCTGGATATCTCAGAGAGCAAGTTTGGAAATCCAAAAACCGGGTAGCTTTTCTGATTTACATTTAAATTTATAAAGAGAGTCAGTATTTCCAATTTCATGATATGATGAGGCTCCTTAAGCTTTTTAAAACATGCTAAAGGAGCTTCAGGATGATGGAGTTTTTGAGGGGAAGAATTTAGCACTCAGACAAACTTTATATTATAAAGACAGGAAGCAGTTAGAGAGGCAGCGTCCAAACGAAATGGAAATCCACTGAGCAGCTTCTTCAGTTCTCATAAAACCAACAATCTCGTTCACTTCTCTGTCTCATTTCATAACACTTCTCTTCATTAATGAGCAATATGTAACTCTGACACCTAGTGTTTAAAATGGGTACTGCAGTCTAAATTCTAAACATTGTAGAGAGCTGTCCCCCCCCCCCCCCCTCCTCTCTAGAGTCGATGCTCACGCAGGTTGCCATGTGGTGGACACTGAAGCTTCAGTGTTTATCCAGCTCTGCATTGGTCTTGTGGGACTTAAAATTTTGGGTCACAGCTGACGTTGTCTGGAAACAACTCATTGGCTTTAAAATACTTTTATTGACATTAAAGTATTCAGCCTGCGTACAGGAGTTTAAGAAAAGTCATCATCATGTGTGTTACCTGCAGAAATCCAATGAAGGGTTTGATTGGCTGGTAAATCAAAGGAAAAGATCATGTTTGTCTTCTTTAAATCATGAATTCACATCCTCTCTTCCTCCAGGTCTCTGAACTACGGAGGGATAGGAGCCATAATCGGTCATGAGCTAACACATGGATATGATGACTGGGGTAAGGATAACTACCCATAATGCACTGCAACCAGCCATGCTCATACACTCATCCGTCTTCCCCCACTTTGAGTTATACTCCCTCAGTTTGCACAGAAAGAGTGAAGCTTGCCCTCATCGTTTTATCATTCATGACTTTTTAGAAGTGCAGACTTTTTTAAACGGCCATCTCTAACTTTCACTTCCTGTCTGAAGCGTCGCCCGTTAAAAGACATCAGAGTCATAACATGACGGTGTGAAATCTCTGCAAGCCAGATCCCTCCGGTACTGGAGGAGCTTTGACTCTGACTGTTCGGTTAGTGCAACAAAACGTTCAGGACACGTTCAGGACACGGACGCTCTCCTTCAGCGTCTGCACCAAACGTGGTCAGTGGTTAGTTCACACGCCCCATGTACAGAGGCAGTGTCTTCAAAGCGAGCAGCAGGGTTCGAATCCAACCTGTTGACCCTTTTCCCGCATGTCGTTCCCCACTCTCTTCTTACTCTATCCGTTGTCCTGTCTCTCTAATGAAGGCTTAAAAAAAGCTCAAACAAAACGATCGAACCATAACGTCAACGTTTCCACCCCGAGTGGAAGTGTTAGCATCCGTCCTCGATGGCTAAAACAGTGCTAAGCACACACATTATCTGACGTCTGAAGGGAAACTAGGCTGAGAATATGAAGTTCAACGTGAACACAGTTCAGAGTTTCCTCGACTGGTTTAGCGGAAAGGCCGGACAGTCAGTGGTTTGAGTCCTGTGGTATGCTGGGCAGCTCTTCAGACGGTAAAGGAAAGTTACAGGTTGTGTTTTCTTCATGCTAACGCTGCCCCCCCCCCTCCCCTGCCCTTTTGCCCTTCATCTTAGTGATGCAATGGTTCATGTCCCTAGGGGGCCAGTACGACCGCAATGGCAACCTCAAACAGTGGTGGACTGAAGACTCCTACAGAAAGTTCCAGACGAAGGCTGAATGTATCGTCAAGCTGTACGACAACTTCACAGTTTATAACCAGAGGGTGAGTCTACACACACACACACACACACACACACACACACACATTGATTGTTCCAGTACGTGTCAAAACGCACTACAGAAAAGGAAAAAGAAAAAAACAATTCACACTTTATCCCATGTACAGAAAAGAGCAGGGAGAAGAATAAATCTTGTGATTTAAAATTTCAGATTTTGTAAAACGCTGTGGATGTTATCATGGTGTCACCAGTCACTGCTTGTCTTTGAAACGTGTCCTCTGTGTGTGTGCGTGTGTGTGCATGTGTTTAGGTAAACGGTCGTCTCACGTTGGGGGAGAACATCGCAGACATGGGAGGTCTCAAACTGTCGTATTATGTGAGTGCCTTCTGATAGCATCGTTGTGGTTTTGTATCTTCACTGAGTCTGAACATTTCCTCTTCAGTTTCGTGTCTCTTTAATTTTCTAGCTCAAAGATCCGTCTCTTTATCTCTCTTTAACCTCCATAAATCAATCAGCTCTTTGTTTGCTCCAAAGTCCAGAGCAAAAAAGTGACCAAGAGTCAGGATCCACGTTTTACTCCGATTCTCTTTCTCTGCTCATATCAGAGTGTGTGTGTGTGTGAGTGTGTGTGTGTGTGTCTGTGTGAGTGTCTTTGTGAGTGTCTGTGTGTGTGTGAGTGTGTGTGTGTCTGTGTGAGTGTGTGTGTGTGTGTGTCTGTGTGAGTGTGAGTGTGTGTGTGTGTGTGTGTGTGTGTGTGAGTGTCTGTGTGAGTGTGTGTGTGTCTGTGTGTGTGTGTGTGTGTGAGTGTCTGTGTGTGTGTGTGTGTGTCTGTGTGAGTGTGTGTGTGTGTGTGTGTGTGTGTGTGTGTGTGTGCGTGTGTGTGTGCGTGTGTGTGTGTGTGTTGAATGGGAGAACATCTTGAATGATCTTAACGTGCAGCGCTGCGTGTAAGGTCGAGGATTTTTTAAGGAACATCTGCAGCCGGAGAATTTAAAGATCTCTGCTTTGTTTTCATGTTGATGCTACAGTTGATGTGAGTTCAGGGATCATGTGAGTCTCTGGTCTTGTTTTATTGATTGTCTCCACATTTCCTCTCCGTCCTCATCCAGGCATATCAGAAGTGGGTGCGGGAACACGGCCCGGAGAGACCCCTGCCCGGCCTCAGATACACTCATGAACAGCTGCTCTTCATCGCCTTTGCACAGGTACAGAAACCTCCCACTAAACTGTCTTTCATTTACAACAGCAACTGGACACAACAGCTTCCCGACTATGACGGTTCAGGTCTGAAGTAAAAAAAAGTGTTTATTGAAAGGGAACCGTTCTCAGGTGTGTTTCTGTGTTCGTCTTTTTAGAACTGGTGCATGAAGAGAAGATCTCAGTCCATCTACCTGCAGCTGCTGACCGACAAACACGCACCAGAGCACTACAGGTACACACACACACACACACACACACACATACACACACACATTCACTCACATATTCACTCACACAGATACACACACACACACACACACACACACACACACACACACACACACACACACACATACACACACACATTCACTCACATATTCACTCACACAGATACACACACACACACACACACACACACACACACACACACACACACACACACACACATACATACACACATACACACACACACACATACACACACACATTCACTCACATATTCACTCACACACACACTGTGATTAAAAACAGTAATCGTTTGATCACTTCCTGTCACTAAGAATGTTTCAGATATTCATCAAAACATTTCTAACACGTAAGAATTTAAATTGAAGATCGTCTTTCTGTTTTAAAGGATTATGTCAGTACTGCAGCCGGTCATTAGGGGGAGCTCTACATGTTTTGGCTTCATCTGTCACGTCGTCCATCGTTCTACATTCTGATGAGTCTGATCATTACTCAATGTTTAATGACCTCCTCTTTCCTCCCTGCAGAGTGATCGGCAGTGTTTCCCAGTTTGACGAGTTCGCCCGAGTCTTTCACTGTCCCAAAGGAACGCCCATGAACCCTTCGGACAAATGCTCCGTCTGGTGACCTCTCGGCTCGCCTTGTTGACCTTTAGGGTCGGATTTCTTCTTTGTGAAGCTCCGCCCACTCACATCCTCCTGCCCTACGTCACCTTCATCAGAGTACAGGATGAAACAGGAAGTCTCTCCTCGCCTTTAAAGCGTGCCGGAGGAAAAGCGCCTCTTCATCATCATGCCACACGTTTCAGTCACACGTTTCAGTCACACGTTTCAGTCACACGTTGCACGCCGTCTGTGAAACATGTACATATATATCATCGTGTTATATTTTTCTATGTTATTTTCAAATCATTTATTTTTCTATTTTAGCAGATATCTCACTTTATGATGAGCTGATTCTTTTTACATCTCATGACGTGTTTCCCTCCTTCGTGGCATCAAGCAGAAAAACTTCAGCCAATCAGACGAGTTCAGACGGGCAGCCAATGAGATTTCAGTCCCTTAACGTGGCGAGGACAGATTTTCACATGACCTGAGATCAGTAGCATCCTCGTGCCTGTCAATGTGTTGTTCTTTCTGTGTGGTGTTGGGAGTTTGATTTGTGCCGTGGCGCTGCCCTCTGGTGGCTTCAGACTGTAACGCCTCACTAATTCAACACACCATGACTGTTGTATCCTTTGCCTGTTGCTGTGAGTGTTTGTACGTTTTTTAAAAATTCGTCCACTTTTTTTAAAGGAGAAGAAAAAAGATGGCCCACGTTTTTTCTCAGGATTTGTAGCAAAGTGAAGCTCTGAATGAGAGATGCTCAGATGTCTGTCTCTTTAAATCTTCAGCCTAAAGAAAAGCGTCTCTTGATCAACAGCAACAACTCCCTCCGATTGGAAGAGGCTGATGGACAGAGGATCCTTCACTGATCAGTGTTGGACTGTTTGTGAAAGCTGATGTAGCTCATGGCGCCCGTTGATCTCCTCACGCTTTGCATCTTTGTTCTCGCTATCTGAGTGTCGGAACCAGAAGAAACCATATTAGAACAGGGGGGGGGTGTTGGTACTATAGACTGTATAAAGATGGACAATGCTTCTCAACCTCCCTCTGTTGTAAAAGTTTGAAGCCACAAAGCGTCTGTGATGGACGCTGACATGTTGCCTTGGTGACGTCATTTGAAGTCAGACTCTGGGTGTGAGCAGCAGTGTTGACATCCTGCTTCTTCCTCAAAACACACATTTTAAGGCCCCGTGTCCACCTGGCGTTTTGAGCTCTTGAGCGTTTGTATGAAGCGTTTGTGCGCTGAGAAAAGAAGCGCCACAGTCTGTTCGTCCTGTCTCCATGACAACGGTCTTGTATTGACAACGCTCGCTGTTTGACCGACGCTGTTCCGTTACTTTTTACTGCATGTTTTATATTTGAGATCGTTTTTTTCCTTCACTCTGAGAACCAAACGGACGGTGTTTGTCCTCCATCTTTGTCAGGACACGGAGCGAAGACGATGTGGTCACAGGGCACGACCCGTAGTAGGCAAAGATGCGCAGAATATCGTATACAGTTTGAAAAGAGCGCCAGTGACGTCAACAACGCCTTTCTGAAAACTTGAAAGATTGTCAAGAACAAAAAAGGAGCACTCTGTAAAAATCTGGGTGCTGTGCTTTTTTCTTTACGTGTCTGCCTGCTGCTGCAAACGCTCACTGCTCGCTGGTGCTCAGAAAGAAAACGCCAGGTGGACACGGGACCTAGTTTACAAAGAGAACGAGAAAGATCCGCCCCCTAGTGGCCATTAGAGAGAATGCAGCAATGGCTTGACTTTTAAAAACCAAGAAGCTACATCCACTGTCTATATACAGTCTGTGTACGTCTGTGGACGCAGCGTGTGAGGTGACATCATGCAGGTTTTCATCCAATCAGAGAGAAGCTAACACTCTGTGTACATACGAGAGAGGGCGGCGATTTGTACGCAAAAAAAAAATTACTTTTTTATAAAAGAGCCGGTACAAAAAATGTTGAGTCTTTGAGGAGAAGTTTCTGAGATGTTACGGCTGTACAGTTTGTTTTTAAAGAACGTGCATGTTTCTCATCATGGACCTGTGATCGATACATGTCGAGGAACACACACACACACACACACACACACACACACGCACACACACACACACACACACACACATACACACACACACACACATAGGCCAGGATCTACAGCTGCTAATCCACATGTGGCTGCTCTCTCTTCCTCTCTGTTGGTCACCGTTTAATGTTTGAATAAAAACAAAGGATCACTGTGTCCCATGCTTCAGTCTGTGCTCAGGTGTGTGTGTGTGTTGGATATTATCTTTGTGTATGTGTGTTGGATATTATCTGTGTGTGTTGTCAGCTGTGTCCTCTCAGGCTCTGATCCTCAGATGTGAGCCAGCTCTCCTTTGGCCTCTGTGGTAGTTTACCTCTGCAGCTGCACTTCCTGTTTGCAGAAAAGCTTCAAAACCAAACATGAACATAAGTAATAAATAAATAAATATGAAAGATGATGTTTAATGCAAAACAGAGGCAAAACAAACAAGACAAAAAGTTCATCATCAACCTGCAGGAGTTGAACTTTCCCTCCATAACGAGGATCTGTCTGCAGAGCACGCTGCAGCTAACGAGGAGCTGCTGAGTAAAGAGTCCATCAGTGTTAACTCATCCATCCACACACATTCACACGCCGCAGACCAATCGGCGGGATCCAACCCCACGACCTTCAGGTTGACAGACAATCGACTCTCCCACTGAGCCACAGCCGCCGTTATAAGCAGCTTACTAGTGAAAATTGTGATCTTTAATTTAAAGTGTTAAAATGACTTGAAGAATTTCTTAAACCAAAACACTTTGACAGATACACTTTGTTGTGTCCACAAATAAAATGCATGTAGGATTCGTTCTGCATACTTTGAATGTAGTTACACCTTCAGTCTACAAGGGGGCGCAGTGAGACTCCGTAGAGCAGGGGTGCCCAACCTTTTTTGAACCAAGATCTACTTTTAAAGTTGCAGTCTGCAGAGATCTACCAGTCCACATAGTGAGCCGTAGCCTTTACCGACAGCTACATTTTAATATTACGTTTGTATTTATATCACATATGTTTTTCCCTTAATTTAGTTTACAACAAACAACTTTAATCTGTGTGGAGATGTTCACAGACTACAGCAGGCTGCTGTGAGATGATGTTGCTTTTGTTAAATTAGCTGCAGACACGGTAAGAGTGAACGGAGTAATGTCCAACCGACCGTTTGACCGGGTCACGTGTGTTCCCGCCTCGGTCCGTACGGATCACGGATCAACTGTGTGCTGTAGCACTAAAAGTAAAAAGTAAAAAGGTTCGCGTGGTGGCTGGCGCTCCAGTGCAAGTGTGTGTGTGTGTGTGTGTGTGTGTGTGTGTGCGCGTTTGCGCTGTTTGTTGGTGTGTCTCGTCCCCCGCGATGCTCACAGTCATGACAGCAGAGAGGAGCAGAGAAAAGTAGCTGCAGCTTCATCAAATGCGCTTAATACTCGAAGCATAGTTTCTATTTATGACTTTTTTGTAAAACATTTACCCCCCTGGTTTTACCTGCACGTCCTTGCGCATGCCTGCACTCTCTCTTGCGCGCTCTCTCTCTCTCTCGCTCCCCCGCTCGCTCTCATGCACGCAGCAATTTCATGAATAAATGAAAAATTAAATACACACAGGTCGGATGTACACTTGGGCTCCCCACACAGGTATCGTGTGTGGGAAACAGTGCAATGAGATGAAATTGAAATCAATTTTCTATTTTACAATTGTATTTTATATTGACTAAACATCTCGATCGACTGAGAATCAGTCAGCGATCTACCTGTCGATCGCGATCGACTGTTTGGGCACCCCTGCCGTAGAGGACAGGTGAGACTGTTAAGGTAAAGGAAAGACGAAGATAGATGAATAAACAGACTCACCAACTAAAACACTTCAGCTCAAATCTGAATGTATTTATTGAAAAGATGAATGTGTTTAAAAAAAAGTGAATTAAATGTTATCTGTCGATGTTTTCATCTTTAGTAAACACAGTTTTCTTCCCGCTCTTATTATTTACCAAAGACCCTGACATTCAGTCCGTGTGGTTTACGGTCTTTGGGTCTTTACTTCACGGAAACCTGAAACAGCTGTGACACGTTATAAACAGATCTCTGGCGCCATCCTGTGGCTGACCTGCAGAACAACGAGCTGCTGAGGTGCAGCGGAGATTTTCACTTTCATTTCAGCTCCAGCGAGTCGAAGCAGAGAGAAGTGTTTGAGACTGATCGAGGAAAGATTGTGTTGATGGATCTGAAGGAGGGGACTCGACAATGCAGACAATGGTGAGACTATTATTTATATATTTATATATTTATATATTTATATATTATAAAGAGAGAGAGACTGAACTGTCAGCAGGACTCTACTGGTGTGGATATTATTAGAAAGTGAGTTCACTGTTTAGAGAGAGGAGGCAACATGGAGGCTTTACCGGTTGAAAGTAAAGTGAAAGTCCGGCAGGATCAGGGTCCGGGTCCAGGTCCGAGTCAGGGGCATGAGATTTAGACTACAGTTTGTGTTTGTGAGACTCTGTGACTCCTGTCAGTGAAGATGTGATGTCAGACTGATCTCGCTAACTACAGGAGAAATACATATTTATATAAATAAATATTTATGTAAATATATATTTATTATAAACAGTGTAAAGCTTTTAGTTTGGAAGCTGGAAAGAAACTCAAATGTTTACTTTCACTTTCGTCCTATCAGGAGACAGATCAGCTGCGAGGGAAGAAAGGGGAGGGGCTAAAACATTATGCGATTTTGTATCGCGATATTTTATCGTCTCATGACCAAATATCCTTTTATTATATTAATAGTTAATATGCTTTTTAAATGTTTAACAGCTGAAGAGGTTCCACAATTCAATTTGAACGTGGTCAAAAGAAACCAAAAAGACGAGAGAGAAGAAGAAGATATGAGGGGTTTTAAGAACAAACAGTCCTGGGAACTTTTAAAAGAGAACTACAAACAATGGAGACTTTAAATCTTTCTGCATTCACATCGCCATGGTGACAGCTGATATGAACCTTAAAGTGGCGTGAGCGTCACATTTCCTCCGTCACGTGAACACTCAGTAACGCCTGGACTTTGTTGTTTTTTTAAAATCAATTTAAATGCCTTTAGCAGCGTTTAACATTTACAGTTAGATCTTAAAATGGCGGTTGCTGGTACTGGATTGGCTCTCGTGTTCGACCAATCAACATACAGAGAAGTATCTTTTCAAGTCACTCTTGTGCTGGGAGAGTCCCTCCTCTGAAGCCGGAGCTTAACGGGTTGCTCTAAACGGGAACCAGGAACTTAAAGAGTTCCTGCAGGGATGAATCAATCAAAAGGGGCGGGGTCTAACAGTTCCTGGATCTATGAAAAAGTTCCTGTAGTTCTAATGAAGCAGAAACTTTTATAAATGATTATCTCTCTCTCTTTAGCCACAAACCAGTTGCAGAGACTAACTTCGCTCTGCATGAAACTCACTGCAGACGCTTCCTGTGCGTCTGTCCCGACTGTGATGAGGCGGTTCCTCGAGAGCAGCTGGACCAGCACAGAGAGGAGCAGCACACACAGGTACACACGCACTGATACAGCACACACAGGTACACACACAGGTACACACACAGGTACACACACAGGTACACACACAGGTACACACACAGGTACACACACAGGTACACACACAGGTACACACGCACTGATACAGCACACTCAGGTACACACTCAGGTACACACTCAGGTACACACTCACTGGTACACACAGGTATACATTCACTGATTGGTTGATTGATTATTGATTGATTGGTTGATGTGTCACTGGAGGTTCACTCTTCGTCCGTGTGTCTGCAGGTGAGATGCTCGAAGTGCAACCAGAGGATGGAGCGTTGTCAGCTGTTAGATCATGAGGTGAGCAGACCAGCTAAATGTTTATTCTTTCAATTCCCAAATACGTAAAGATACACGTGTAAAAAAAACTTCTTTACTGAAGTAAAGAAAACAGGCTCTGTAGAAAATCAAACAAAACGTTTCAGCTAGCAGTAACCTCCAGTGTTGAGAAATGAAGCTGAAGTGTAAAATCCTGCAGTTCCTCGAGTGTCCACTAGAGGCTGGCTGCAGAAGCACAAGAAGTCACATACACATTTTACAGCAGAGATTAACATGTTTACAGCCTGATTCAAAAAAACAAATAGGTCCGATAAGCTCATGTCTTGATCGACACACACAGTACGGGGGGTGAATGTTTTGATGACTCATCAGTTTTGATTTGATGAAGGATAAGAGTTATCACAATAAGGCGCGTAGCTGACATGATTGACAGGCGGGCGCGGTGTAACGGTTTGTCAGGAAGCTTCACGAGGTGGAGATGTTAAATCAGGATTTGCTGCTAGACGTAAATGTATCAATGTTCATGTTGTTTCCATGAGTGCCGTTCTCGTCTTCAACCCGTCTGTCTCGTCTCTCTCCACTCAGACTGACGAGTGTGGCGAGCGCATGCAGAGCTGTCACTTCTGCGAGCTGGAGATGCCGTTCAAGAAGCTGGACGAACACACCGTGGTCTGTGGGAGCCGCACCGAGCACTGCAGGGACTGTGGCCGCTACGTGACCCTGAGGGACCAGCCCGAGCACGCTTTGACCTGCTCGGACGCCGCCAACACATCTGGTCCCCCTCAAACTACCAGAACACTACCACCAAACAGTAAGGGGGAGTGGCCTGCGGATCTAGTGTCCAGGAGACTTTTGTTTTACCTAAACTGTGAACATGCTTCTTCTTTTTTTCACAGAAGTGGAAGGTCGAGCTTCATCGCCAGCAGAGGAAGACGAGGTAAACACACTCACAGTCATGTTAGCTTAGTTTAGCCACCAGAAGCTAACGGACACACCTGACACCTGGGTCACGTGTTGTACCTTTGCAATCAACAAGCTCAGATAAAATCACCTTCATGGTGCTAACAGTCAGTGGATATTAGGCAGGGTGTTTCAAAGGGGGGGTCCTGACCCACTTGGGGGTCCCCACGGGGCGCTAGCGGGATCTTGGAAATTTTTAGGGACAAGAAGAGGAATTGAAACAAAAAAACACTAGAGCCAATCAGAATCGAGCAGCTGCAATGAGTCACACTGACTAATCAGAGAGTTGCAGTACCAATAAAAAATTAGCCACCAGAACCAGGACCAGGGGAGACCACCCGGGCCTCTAAGAGTCAGGAAACATAAAGTACGGCTCTACGAGAGCGAGTACTAAAGTCATGATGTGACAAAAACATCCTCGCCATTCTTTAAAGCCGTCTAACCTTAACCTCACATTTATCCAGAGAGAGGTCCGAGCCAGAGGCGGATGCAACACGGGGGTCCTTGGCACGTCAGAGGTCTGAAAATTCTGTCCTAAAACTTTTTTACTCCCCAAAGCAGCTGGAGCGCGTTCTTCCAGCCAGCTCTGAGCACAAAGAGGCGGAGTCAGAGGAAGACGAGGAAGAGAGCGAGGCCTCTCCTCGACTGAGCAGCACCTACAGAGCGACCTCGCTGTCAAACGGACCGAGAAATGGTCCTGGGGGAGACCCAGACCAGATCAGCACCTGCCCCCACTGTCACCTGGCTCTGCCCGTCCCCACTCTTCGCTGGCACCAGGTAAACACCCCGACAGGTATCCAATGAGATCTGAACTTACCTGGTTGAAATGCTGACGGGTTTGTCTCGTCTTTGTGTTTGAAGGTGAAGTGCAGGAACCACGCCCTCTTCAGGTAAAGAGAGAGAGAGCGTCACGCGGTGGATCAGCGTCCTCAAACTGATGGAAGACGAGACTAAGAACTGTTCGACCGTTTGATTATAATCAGAATCCTGGGTTTTATTTGTGTCTAAAGGAAGGTTCACGTGGTTTCACGTGTTTTTAAGACTTGTTTGCTCCACGACTCCACGTCTTCATTCGTCAACCAGTTTCCTCTGACGTCAAGCTGAAGGCGGAAAGTTCAAATCCTGTTATGATGTCTTCACTGTTATATTCATCATGTCGCTGCTGTAACGATCAGGAACTGATGTGAAGAGACCAATAAAAACATCTTGTCATTCGACCAGTCTCGTCATTCGACCATTTCCACTCTGACGTGACCTTATTAGGAAGGCTGTAGCTTAAAGTGCATAGAAATGTGTTGATGCTAACGTTAGCCATCATGATTAGCGTGTCATACCTTTGATCAGTTCTGTTGTCAAACCTTCGCTAACACGATGCATCGTCTCTCCAGCTGCTGATCAACGAGGAGGAGAACATTAAAGATGATTTTATGGCGAGTCAGATTTCTGTTTGTTCATCAAACACAACAGAGCAGAACGTGAACGCTTCAGAGCGCAACATTAGCTTCAACTCTTGAAGAAAAAAAACTCCTGATCACCTCTGAATATTCGTTCAGTTAGAATATGTAAAGGTATAATCTTAATGTCTGCTTAGAGCACTAAATAATATAATACATTCATGAGCTGCTGATTAAGTTTAAATGATCAGAAACTGACGGGCTGCACAGTGGTGCAGTGGTTAGCTCTGTCCCCTCACAGCGAGGAGGTTCCTGGTTTGAATCCCCGTCTGACAGGATCCTCTCTGTGTGGAGTTTGCATGTTCTCCCTGTGAATGTGTGGGTTCTCTCCGGGATCTCCGTCTTCCTCCCACAGTCCAAAGACATGCTCGTTAGGTTAACTGCTGACTCTAAATTGTCCGTAGGTATGAATGTGAGTGTAGCTGGTAGTCTGTCTCTGTATGTCAGCCCTGTGATTGGCTGGTGACCAGTCCAGGGAATAACCCCGCCTCTCAACCAATGACAGCTGGGATCAGCTCCAGCCCCCTGCGACCCTCAACGGTATTGGCCTAAGAAACTGAAATCTGTCAACCCCAAGGTAATGTGTCCCTTTTTTTACAAATCAAACAACTCTAAGAATCCAGTGTGATGTTTTTAATATTTGAACTTACAAAGGTATAAATCTTTGTTACAGTTTATTTCTCTTGAAGATAATAAAATATTTCAATCCTGCAGGCTGATAATAAAAACACCAGAAGAAGAGATCGCCCTCGTGTGGATCAAAGATAAAACAGCAGTATTTGAAATCAGGAGGACTAAACAGAGGTCATAAAATCTCACCCTATTAAGATCGATTCTTAAAAAGTATTAACGACAATAAGCAGCAGGATACAGAACACCAACAGCAACAAAACAATCATTCCAAAGGCACCACGTGAAGCAGGGATGCACGATATTCTGTTCACATCATTAATCCGCCGATATCAGGAATATTTTATCATTTTTAATTCTGCTAATAATGACATCATAAAGAGAGTCCGACCGATTAATCAGCCAGCCAGCCAGTTCTCTTTCACCAGCAGAAGGCGCTATATGGATCACAATAAGCATCATCACTCTGCAGAGTGATTCACGTACATGCTCAGTTACTTTCCAGTCAAGTGACCATCTCGTCTTCATTAAATATATTTTACACAAGTGTTTGATAACTGACTAAGACTTATTGAAGAAGATGCATACATATACTGTTACTAAACCGGATCCATCAGGAGCAGGTCATTATCGGTCAAATAGCGTTCATATCGTGCATCCCATAATACTAACATGACAGCACATAAACGTTTAAACTGCGAACCATCTCTTTCTTTGTTTCCATAACAAGTATTAGTAAAGAAGAAATCAAAGATTAAAACACAACGGTGCTGAGGAGCAAAGAGAGCGAGCGACAGAACGCTGGATCCACCACAACAAAAAGTTCAAAAATATAAATCTGTTTTCAAGTCGTCCAGGAGCGACTGGAGTTCATTCCACTAGTGACCAGATCCATCATGGTGGCTGAACCCGCCCTGCAGCCGTCACAGATCATCGCTGTGGGACGAGTTACTCTCTGCACACTTCCAGAGAAAACAAGTTTTTAAAGGTGATAAAAAATATTAAAGCAGGAGCGAATGAATCTTCTTGATAATGTTTATAGTTCTCTCTCGAGACCTGCTGAAAGTCTAGCTCTTGAACTGGGTTTCAATCCAGCATAGAAAGCCTCTGCGTTATGAAACAGTACTGCAGAGGAACAAGTCCAAAACATTTAACCCTTTGTTTCCTTCACTACATCACGTCTTCTTCTACACGTTGAGTTTAGAAGCTCTTTTCTATTTAAAGCTTAAAGGATCAATCACTGATACATGAGGTGAATCGACTCTAGAGAGCGGGGGGAGAGAGACAGCTCTCTACAATGTTTAGAATTTAGACTGTAGTACCCATTTTAAACACTACGGGTCAGAGTTACATACTGTTTAAGTCCAGCTGAAATTTCCTGTTTAAAATGCGATCCAGCATCACGAGCGTGCACATAAGTCCTATATCTTTTGATCGGCCTCAGGACTACCTGAAGATCTCGTCCTATTCGCTCGGTAAGAACCAATCATTGATCTGTTTACTGAACATCATGTAAACAAGGGTCGGCCAATCAGCCTCGTTAATTCCCTTTTCGTCGTTACAGCGGTCGGCCTTCTAAACGAGACCAACTTAAATTGTCCATCTACTTCTGTCAGCACCGTGAAGCAGCAGAAACATTTCAACCTGGACATGGCGTGAATGATTTTACCTGTGAACACCTGAACGCAGTCTGTCCCCACAGAGCAGCAGGTCTTACAACAACGTACTTCACCTCATTTTTTATCCTCCTTCTTTCTTAACCAATCAGAAACCATGCAGTTCATCTAGTACACAGGTTTGAAATCAGCTGTTAACGGGGCGCTCAAAGTTTCTGTGGCAGTCAGAACCATGAAAAGAAGGTACCGACCACACACGTGTTGAGATCTGTTCACACATACACAAAACTCCTGAAAATGTACTGAAACATTTGGGATGTGTGAGTGTTCCAGACTTCAGCCTCCTGCTAAACCCTCGACATGAAGTCGGGCTGAAGCAGCTATAAAAGTAATATTTTGAAAAGTTCACCCTGAGTGAACAGGTGGAGGGGGGCAGGTAATAAAGCAGCGTCAGACTCTATTCTGTTCTTTTCTAGTCAGTAAAAACAATCAGTAAAACACATTCAAACCTTCAAACTGGGCCCCTCCTCCTGGGCTCATCGCCCACAGAAGCCCCGCCCCCTGCAGGATGTAGTGTGTTTACTGCTTGTACCTGCAAGCTACGCACGCCAGCATAAGCTAACCTGCCTGTCCAACAGGAAGCAGACCAACTCCACGTCCACGGGTAAAAGACAACACAAGGTTCACCCTCGTTTTAGAACGAGCTTTGGTGTTTCATTTCACTGTGATTATATTTTCTCTTCTTTGCTGCTATGTCCACGTCTCTTCCAATCACTGAATTGTATCCACTCCTAAACTCACCTGCTGCGCTGTCATTGGCTGGAGGAAACACACCAGCTCCCCCAGAAACGTCCCGAGTCAACCAGAACAAAGCAGAACAGTAAAATCCAGTCAGAGGACAGAGTCTCTGCAGACACAGTCACCACCACACATGTATGGAGGCCCAGAAGGGACGATGGAGCAGCTTTACTTTATTACTTAATTTTAAAGGAAGCAGCTGCTCTATTTTATTTTGAAGGAAGAAGCTGCTCTATTTTAATTTAAAGGAAGAAGCTGCTCTAATTTATTTTGAAGGACAAAGCTGCTCTATTTTACTTTGAAGGAAGAAGCTGCTGACTATCTTTAATATAAAAGAATAAAACTATCATTATATGGTCGGGAGGGAGAACTGGGGAAGACTTCAGGGACAGACTGTCCTGAAATGTTCTACAAATTCTCAGGGTTTTACTGCATGTGTGAAAACATCCTTAGTAACTTTGAGCCACTCCGTTAGAGAAGTGGGCGTGGATGAGTAATGGCGTGTGAAGGCAGCGAGTCCATGGCTGCTTTTACAGCGGGAAAGACATTAATTCAAAAGCCTTGTTGTGGTTCTGAGAGTCCAGGTCCTTTTCCACCTCCTGGCACACCTGTGAGTTCTGGTGGATCAGTTCCAAACTTCTTCTCTCGCTACCGTTTGGTCAAGTCCGTTGATCTTCTCGGGCAGCAAGCCTTCCTCGATGGCCACCTTGGACTCGTTGACCTTAAAAGAGAGGCGGTGTTTCATCTCTTTAAAACAAGCTGACATAAAGATTCATATCAGGAAGAGGAGATTGATCTTCTGACTCACCTTGAATGGTTCGCTGACTCCAATGATGCTCTGCAGAGTGCTGCAGAAATAACAAAGCACGCACTCTCCTCCCTGCACGGGGATTTCCTCTTTGTCCACATAAACCTGCAGAACAGACACATTTATCGATAAACTATTTAAAGCCTCTGAGAGGAGGAGTTTAACTGGTTCTTAAGCAGATGAAGATGGTACTGATATTTCTGATGACCTACAGAAGACAACCAGCAACACATTATTTTAATGCCTGAAACATCTGCTGCAGGGTAGGACCAGTGATCAACTGGAAAACAGCCCGGGGTGGACTTCCTTGCTAATGATCCACAGAGGCTTACATTTCTTGCTCTGTTCACCAGAACTGAAGAAGAGGAGAGGTCAAACATCTTCCAGATCTTAAACCATTCCAGTTACATTTGGATCGAGCTTCGAAACAAAATACTTTGTATGCTTTCTCTGTTGAACCCATAGACCCATATTAATGTACAAAGCCTGAGTGTTCCTGCAGGGGGCGCTGGAGTCCCATCGATGGCGGTCTCCATGCTGTAAATGCTGTCTCAGGCCCTGTTCACACTTGACTTCTTTTTCTGAACTGTCAAAACGGAGGGTTTTATTCTGAAAATATACTGGATGTTTTAATGTTGTATCGGTGTCTGACTTCCTGTACCGTTTGTTCTTTTCTGTGCTAACTTGATGCGTCGTGCTCCGGCCGGCTCTGGCCGGCTCCGGCGCGGTTGCACCGTAGGCTAAATCCCATTGTTAAGGTTACAGAACACTCGCGCATAAGCGATCAAAAGGCGCTCAAAAGGCGCTGAAGGCAGCGATTCTTTTCTGAAAAAAGAAGTCCAGTGTGAACACGGCCTCAGTCTAACTTTCAGTCAACCAAAATAGGGATGGAGCTGAGGCGGGTTTTAAGCCTCCTAACAAACTGTTACACTGCACCCACCTGTCAATCATGTCAGCTACTCGCCTTATTGTGGATAACTCTTATCCTTCATCAAATCAAAACTGATGAGTCATCAAAACATTCACCCCCCCGTACAGTGTGTGTCAATCGAGACATAAGCTAATCAGACCTATTTGTCTTGGTTTAACCAAACAATACAGCAGTACATTTATTGTTGGTCACATACAACATCAACATTGCAAGTTGTTTTCTGGCGTACGACCAGCCAGAGCACGATGGATTGAATTCAAAGAAGTCTGTAAATGACAGATAGCTTGTTTGCATAATCTTGTAGTTCTATTTGTTGTTACAATGTAAACAGAAGCCGCCCCAGAATGGATCCCTGGGGTACTCCTTTGCTGACCCCAATAAGAGGGGACTTGATTTCTATCAGATTAACAACTTCAAACAAATAGATGACTGGCTTACTAAAAGGGCTGGTCTTTTAATATACCTAGAATAGTTCAGTATCGTCAGGGGAATAAACCGAGAAGGTATTGTGTCAAATCATTACCTGTATGACTTCTTCATTAAACGCCACTTCGTCGTCTTTCACCCACGTGTAGGTGATGTAATCTGACACACTGGTGAATCCAACCTGAAATCGGCACACACAGTCAACCTCGCCGTACTGAAGCATTGTACTTTCATTGCTGAAGTCAACAGTTCTTGTTTAGCAGACCTTATAGAGTCCGATCCAGTCCCACGTGCTGGAAGGGAAAGGCTGCAGAGGGCTGTAGAGAACCATCGAATCAATGTCGGCACTCCAGTCGCCCTCTGGCTGCAGTCGCACCAGAGGAGTCGTTTGAATCTTCCTCAGCTGGACCGACAAACACATTCAGATTAGTAATGACATTTTGTAGCTGTTATAATCATTATTCTGTAAATGTTTGTAAACATTCAAAGAACACACTCTCTCTTAATCAAAAACAACAGAAAAAAGACGCTTAGAAAGAAACGCTAGGAGCATGTGGGGCCTTACTCTACAGTTTATCTCTACTCCTATAAACTTTGAGAGATGGCTCTGAAGGAACACATTTATTGTCTTCCAGCTGAGCCGATCAGTTTCTCACCACCAAAGTGAAGATGCCGATGACAGGCTTGTGGTCGCTGACGCTGTACTCCATTATGCTGGTGTAGAACTCCTGTCTGACTTTCAGGGGGTACTCCTCGTCCTCCTCCAGCTGCCTGAGCTCCCTCACATCCAGCCCAACATCGCTTTCATCCTGCTCCTCGGGGGGTGGGGCTACAGGTCGCAGGCGCCACAGGATCCTGTCGGTCCACGCAGGCTTACGCTTCTTACCGCTGGACAGGTCGTGGACAGAGAGGGGGGACACTGGTTAGGACATAATGGAAGTGGAATGGAATGTATGAAGAAGTGTATTATACTGTATATGGACAAAGATCAGCAGTGTCACATGGCAGACTGCGGGGTCACATGGCAGACTGCGAGGTCACATGGCAGACCACAATGCATCTGTGCCTTTAAATCAAGCGCTTATAAAACAGTTCAAAACCGCAGGAAGTGAACTTAACCCACAAAGACACTTCTGTGTAACATCCAGCTTTAATCCAACACACTTGTATTGAATTATCAACGGTTAACATCTGACCATGCACGTTAGCTTTTATGTAGCAGCTGCTCAGGGAACGCGTGCTGCACACGCTGGCTTTAGGTTAAACAAACAAACATGGCTATGTGTTACTGAAGGTTAAATATGAGTTAATATGAACAGCGACACTTAAAGGAACCCAGAGGTGCAGAGCGGTGGGTGTGTTAATGTGGCTTTAAAATAGCAATGCTGCCTTCACGTGCTGCTCGGAAACATTGTACGTCCCAGCTGTGCAGCCGTAATGACGACATGCACGCCTTCAAGTGCTCGAGTCGAAAAAAAAGGTATGACATCATCCTGAAACTACGGACCAACACCAAATAAACGTCACTCCATGGCGCCACTAAGAGGTGAAAAACTCAGCAACAGCAACAGTATAGAGCTCAGTAGTGACAGCCCACTTTTTCAGTGGCTCTGGTTCCAAAAGTAAATTTCCCTGTTTGAAGCCTGTTACCATGACAACCAGTGTTGTAATATCTTGTAGTTTGTGTTGAATATATAAATAACATTCACTGCAGCATAACAAGGTTATCAGTACATTTACTGTTAGCTAACTAACCAGCTAGCCTGCTAACAAAACTATTTGTTCGCATATGGCAGGGAGGGGCGGGAAGCATTGCCATGGCAACAATCAGAGACGTCGCTGTAACACTCTGTGATCGTGGGTAGTGTAGTTCTTTTCCCCGATATGGTGAATAAACCGTGTTTCTCTTAGAAGTTGATATCAGACGAACTTTCTCCTACAGGAGCAGAAACCATCGTTTCACACTCAGGTAGCTCATGGTCAGTCGTCCTGTGATGGTTATGACATCATGGCGAATAATAAAATCCTCTATGGAGAACATGAACCACACTGTGGAGCTCTATTAGCTCCAAGAATTGACGATCTGAGAGCGCCGACGTCTAACTGTTGAACAAACGAGCATTCAGTCGCTTCTTTGCAGAGACAAGCGGACTTTTTAAACGACTGTTAGCACTTCCTGCTTGTTTGTTCCATTTGTATTATGAACTCAATGCACACTTCACAAAGCCCTTGAAGTTACTAGACGGCATAAAAAGGGAGTCTACTTTCACGACTGAGTAAAAGTAGCTTTATGCAAAATCAGAATAATGGATTAAAAAGGGATGACGTGACGTGTTAGAGACGTGGACACCAAGGTGTTTAAACTCTTACTTAAAGCCAAACCATGTCCTGTAGCGCCTGTGAAGGAGGAGTAGATACACATCATCATATTTCAGAAGGCAGGTTCTGGATATGAAAGGTGATGAATCGATAAATAATCAGGATAATTATGTCATGGTCGGCGTGTTACCTGCTGTCGTAGATATCCGTGTTTCTGTCAAACTTGTACGTGGGTTGAAAATCCAGAGGTCCTTCTTCAAACTCCTGGAGCATCTCCTCTTTTTTCTTCAACATGGTCAACTGAAAATCACAACACATGTTTGAAGAAACCAGGAAGAATGCTCTGCACCAATTACACGAGGCCTGTGCTCTGACACGACTGCAAAACCGGGACGTACGATATTTCCGAGGAGCACTTGAAAGCAGCATGACTATTTTAGAACTAGTTTAGCGGTTCAGGCTTACAGATGATGCTTTGATACCTTTTGTTTTCTGATATATCTGAAAGGACGATAAGGTCCTGTGTCCACCTGGCGTCTTTTTCTGAGCGCTCCCCTTTTTTTGTGTGACTGCTCCGAGCGCTTATGTTGAAAATATTTCAACTTTTCAGAAAGTCGATGTTGACATCACCAGCACTCTTTTCCAAATGTTTGATATTCCCTGTAGTTTTGCCTCCTACAGATCATGTCTTGTACCCACATCCTCCTCGCTCCGTGTCTGAGCGGGAAATAAACGATCTCAAATCTAAAACATGCAGAAACGCTTCATGCAGGAGCTCCCGAGCGCACAGCCAGCACTTTTCTGCCCGGAGAACACGACAGGTGGAAATGGGGCCTAGTAGCCCTAACCCTAACCCTAGCAGCTACATTTTCTTAACTAATGCAACACAACACTAATGAGAACATGAGATCGACCACAAGGCAAACAGTGTCAAACCTGGTCTTTGCTCCAGAGGAGGTTGTACTTTTCGTCGCTGATACAGGTGCGGACAAAGTGCATGCCGTGGTCCTGGATCCGGAAGTTGAGATCCCCGAACCAGAACACCAGCCTGAGATGGGGGGGGGGGGTGAGAAATGAAAGTGTGACTGTACAGTTAAATCTCGTAGATCTTCTCACCTGTGGTCCAGGACTGTCTGAGCCTTTTTACAGTCAAAGGTCTGCGTGCTGATGATGTGCTCAAACTCGTCCACTCTCTCTGTGGCGTATTTCATGTGAGCAGCCAGGTGACAGTTGAGGAAACAGATCGTGTGGCCGTAGAAAGACAGACGCACAGACACGCCACCTTTGTTACCCTGAGAGACAAGAAGAGAAACACAGGAAGCACAAGTTCTGTTACGGTGTACTTCTATAAATCTAATTAGCTACATGCTAATAAAGCTAATAAACATGAGTCTTAGCTTATTAATGCTAGAAGAATTTTTGCTACTTTAAGCACTTCATTTCTCACAAGAGTTTGTTCTGAGGTAATGTTTTCATTCTGACTTTTTCTAAGGAAAGCTCTCAAAATACTGAACTGAACGGAACCCGGGAACAGTATTAAAGGAGCCGTATGAAACTCTGACCCCTAGTGTTTAAAATGAATACTGCAGTCCAAATTCAAAACATCATAGAGAGCTGTCTCCCCCCCCGCCCCCTCCTCTCTATAATCGATGCTCACGCAGCTTGCCATGTGGTGGACACTGAAGAAATATTTTAAGCTTCACATCTTGGGAGCGTGGATGTTATATGAATGTGCCATCTTATTCTTAATAGAGTCTATGTAACAAACACAAAACCACTTATACGATATGTATCTCTCTCTGCAACCTAGTGTTTAAAATTGGTACTGCAGTCTAAATTTAAAACACTGTAGAGAGCTGTCTCCCCCCGCCCCCTCCTCTCTAGAGTCGATGCTCACACAGGTTGCCATGTGGTGGACACTGAAGCTTCGGTGTTTATCCAGCTCTGCATCGGTCTGTAAACCTTTCTGTGTTCTAACCTCTCTCCATTTTTCAAAATCATCTCCAATATTGATCCTAGTTTGAGCACGTTTCTGCTCGTGGAGCTTATTAGAAACATGCAGAGGCTTTTTAGGTCGGGTACAATCACTTCTATCTGAACCACTTCTCTTGCCCGCTTCCATCGCTGCAACACCTGTTGGTTTGACCTGATAACTGCTCTCATATCTGGCAAACCGAGGGGTGTCCAAAACGGTCGTGTGGGGGTGTCTTAAAACCGTCTACCTTCTCTGGTCCAAACAAATCCAGAGCATTCAGGACCAGAATCTAAAGTTAGAAGGAGGACATACTGGCTGCTGCATTGTTGTCAGAGAAGCCAGCACTTCAACATAGCATGTTTCCTTAATGTCTGATCATATAGTAAGCTCACTTTATCATTTCACTCACTACACATCTACACATTAAGTTAATTTAAAAAATCAGTAATCATTATTAAAAGCAATCAGTTGTCTGTTTTGTGCTTTTCTTACCCAGTAACCCAGAATGCCGGTGCGTGTGTACGTTGCCCGGATGTCTCGGATGAAGGGAACGTGCTCCAGTTTGGAGAAGAAGAGCAGCAGCAGACCTTGCATTCGGATGGATGAAACCTGCAACAAGCACAGCAAACAGCTCAACATTAAACTGAACAAGTGTCATTGAGGACTCTCATTACTTTAAGTGTTTTGGTTTAGCGGTGGAGATGCTGTGTACCTTCACGTAATTCAGTGGTGCCAGCGTGGACATAAACAGTTGACTCCACGGGTCGTCAAATAACGCGTCAGTCATTAATCTCACCGGTCCTGAGTAAACCTCCTGCAGACTAACACACACACACACACACTTTATTGCCCCACATCCAGTCGTATAACTGGATGACTCGCCCCACTGATCCCTTCACAATCCCTGCACCACCTACCCGATGACGTAGAGGTCTGGGCTCTTTGGGGAGTTCAGATGGAGAAGCGAGGTCAGGTCATCCGGGGGATCGGCTGTGGCCACGTTCCACGTCACCATATGAAGCCTGATGGAACCGAAGGCAGAAGAAAGAGTGGTTTGAGCAGCACTTGAATCCAAACAACATCTCACTCTTGCTCAGTGAAAGATGGCAGGAGGTTAAACACGCGTTGATTTTAACTTACAGACAAACTGATGAACATCTGTTGGTCTATATTATCAGGTCATTAAGGTCTCATTGTAATATTGTGAGTTCAGCGTTTATACTTTCTGAAATGTGTGCCTGTTAGTCATTTGTCCTGCTTAGTCTGCTTTAAGTTCAGACTTTACAGTCACCGGTGACTCATGAAGGATTCAATAAGTTCATCTGAGACTTTTCATGAGAGGACAAAGCAGTTTTTTCAGCTGCTGTCTCTTTAAGGCCCCCCACCCCATGTGCCCACTTTATTGTGATTGATCAGGAAGCCTTCCAGAGGTGCAGAACAATGCAGGGCTGCCAGAGGAGGGCTGCTCTTGTGCTGGTAGGACAGCCAATGAAAACAGCTCCTTCTACCAGAGTATTGGCTTGAAGCCGTATCGTGAGAGTTTGGTGCATTTAGTAGAACAAGTTGTTTAGCGCCCTCTGTAGACTCCTCCTGGGATTACTCCAACATACCTTTACCTCATGATCTGACACTTTTCCCACGGTTTATCTGACCATCCAGCATCGCAACATTATCAGTCAGACTTTCTGCACCAGCTCTGATTGTATGTTGGTCTTTTAAAAAAGAGAAATTAAGCCATTGGGTGCCGGATCCTTTTTAAAAATCCTGTTATTCAAAAAGATATCAACTTAAAGGTCACATATTCTCCTCCTCTTCAACCAGTTTAAAAAGTCTCACAGCTCCTCAAAACATGTGTGTGAAGTTTCTTGTTCTAAATCCACTCTGATCCTGTATTTGATCATGCCTATAAACCCACCTATTTCAGCCCAGATCAGAACAGGCCGTTTCTGTGTCTGTACCTTTAAATGTAAATGAGCTGTGTCTGACCACGCCCCCTCTCTGGAAGGGTTTGGGTGTCTCGGGCTTTCTCGCTCCATGTCCTATTGTTCACAGTGAGAAGGCAGACTCAGAGGGCAGAACAAACAACTACCTGTGGGAGTGTCACCCACCTGGGGGAGGGGTTACTGCCCTTTGTGATGTCATGAAGGGAAAATCTCCAAACGGCCTGTTTGAGCACACATTTTCTGAAAAGTGGAGCAGGCAAAAGATGGACAGGATGGACTTTTCTTATCATTGGGGGGTTTGTAGACAGACTAGAGACATATATTAGTGTTAGAGGAACATGGTGAAATGTGTTTTACAGAATATGTGACCTTTAAGTTTTTTTTTACTATTTTATATTAAAGTTTAAGATATTGCACTGCAGTCTGAGACTCTGATGATGTGATATAACTGTTGTCTGCAGCTCATGTATCAGAGCATGGCAGCGGAGCAGATGGTGGTAATCACAAGATTTGACTGAATTAGATGATATCGGTGTAAAATATACGTAAAGTCAGTGCTTTGATCATAAAGCAGTTCGGAGAATTGGTGAAAATTCTCATAAAATGTCTACAAACTGAAAAGCTCTCCATATCTGCCAATTACTGAATACATTCCCTCTTGATTCAGCGTAAGCTTCAGAAAACTTTGCATTGGCGTGCTGGCTCTTCTTAAAATGTTCTCGATTGCATACAGCTGCATAACATCAGCGTAATGCAGAACTAAGCTGAGAGGTTTACAATCACAGAGGTTCATTCAGCCAGGACACAAATCAAAGAAGAGCACATGATCAGGGTGTGAAAGCTGTTCCAGTAAAAGCGCTGCGCTACGACCACAAGCAGGTCAGACTGGTACAGTGAACACATAATGAGAGCAGTCATCAGTTCAGACACACAACATATCCACTCGCTGCTATCAGCTGCTGCAGGGAGGGAAAGAAAGAAAAAAAATTCTACTGAAGGATTTCAATGAGTGGAAACATAAATGTAATTTAGTGTATAAGTGTAATTTGTTGTGCAGAGACAACAGCGTTCATTGGAGGAAAGAAGTGAAGCTTGTTAAAGAGGAAAGTGTAAAGACGAGAGAGAGCAACGTTCAAAATGATTTCCAGCTTTGTGGAACAGAAAACATAACAAGCTCTCTCCACCTGAATCTGTCTTTTTTCGGCTTGTTGGCTCTCTTGCCGCAGACGAGGAAGGCGTTATCCAGTGCCTGGACCATTTTGTCATGCAGCCCGTGCCTGGGGTCCAAGTCATCAACGCACGTCATCAGCTGGTTGAGCCGATGGCGAAGGGCGAGTTTGGTGCCCGTCGACTGTGTGGAGTGGGTGTCGGAGCGTTCTCGCCCCATGGTTCCAAAAAGCTGAGAGAGTTCCTCCATCCTCGCTCAAAAAGCTCAAAGAGAACCAAAAAGAGCGACAGCGTCAAAGTTCTGGGTGTTCTGCAGAACCAGACCACCGAGTGAAGTACAGGAGTCGCTGCTGGAGGACTTTGGTGCTCCAGAGTTATGAGGAGTGATTAGAAGTTTATCCACAAGTCTTCTTTGTGTGCTTAAAACTACGTATAATCTTGTTGGTACAAATGTCTCAACAATAGGCTTATCAAACTATTGTGAAACCCATTTGCACCGCAGGAACATAAGAGCGCTTAGCCTTTCAAGCTGTCATGCAACAAACTGTGATTTCTTTTGGCCGAGTGGCAAACGTTACGTGTGAATAACTGAGTAACGTAATCCAGCAGCTAGAGAATAGGCTCATTTAGCTGACTGGCAAAGGCGGCGTTGGTGAGGTGCTGGGGCTTGTGTGCGTCAGGAAAGCCTTGGGATGCTGGTTACCAGCGGCAGGAACTAAAACAAAGACTCTCTTAGTAAAAATCCCAAACCTGTCTCTGAATGAAATAAGAGAAACGTCTCTTCAAATGACCACGGCCAATGAGTAAAAGAGAAAAGGAGACAAGAACTCTCAACACTTTTGTTCCACACAAGGACGCCGTGGTCTGAAGAGGGCAGAAGGGTTAGCAGAACAACACAACAAAGTATGCACGAGGAGAGAGTCTGGACCGGCTTCAAAAATCACTCTGGCATTCATGTTTGCATTACACAACAGGGTTTCTCCGAGAGGCGTTGTCAGGCCCAATGTGGCGTGCTGGCAGGTTGACGGCCGCAGTAATAATGGTCATACATTAAGAGGGACACCAACTTGTTATAGTTGAGTGTTCAACATCACGTTCCTCACAAGCTGTGTAAGAAAACACTGATTTAACACCGTGTATTAACGGCACAAGAGCGTTGGACTGTAGCATCACGTACTATAGCACGCCCGCTGTCCACACTGCATCCATTAAATATTGAATTCTCTGCTCTTTAAATTTCAGTTTCCCATTCCAAACATTAAAAGGTGTCATGCTTTTCTTTTGAAGGCGGACTGCTTTTATTTTGAAAGTGGACAAACTGAAGTGTGGTGCTTTTATATTGAAGGTGTACAAACTGGAGTCTGGTGCTTTTATTTTGAAGGTGGTCAAACTGAAGTGTGGTGCTTTTGTTTTGAAGGTGTACAAACTGGAGTCTGGTGCTTTTATTTTGAAGGTGGTCAAACTGAAGTGTGGTGCTTTTGTTTTGAAGGTGTACAAACTGGAGTCTGGTGCTTTTATTTTGAAGGTGGTCAAACTGAAGTGTGGTGCTTTGTATTGACGAGCTGTAGACTCAAATCTCAACACTCTGAGCCGTGTCAATAAACAGCTCGCCGTGAGCCGAATAAAGTTTTTCTCCGGCCTTGAAAACAGGTCAAAGGTCAACATTTCATCATGATAGGGAATTTATAAATGCTCCTCTATCTTCACTTTGTACAACAAGGTAACGAGCTCTGCTGAATGAGGAGAGAGAGTAGAACCCCCTCATTCCTCGTCCGTCTACGTGAGTGACAGAGAGGGAAATAGAAACATCGTGCTGCGTCACTCGCGGGCGGTTAGGACACTCCAACAGGAAACAGTCGACTCTGGCTGATTTTGTTGCTGGCGCCCGCTAATGTCACATCCTGTCAGGACACGCTGTAAGACCTTTACACCACCAGTGGCTGAAGACCTCTGTGACCATCTTATCCTCGTTAACGACTGAGCTGTAACACTTTGACCGTTAATCATATCGACTTTCTCTTGTAAAAATAACAAACTTCCTATCGTCTGAATCGGCCTCTTCACAGTTCTAAAGACCATGAACAGTCTGACAATAAAAACAGTTCCTCTAACGTATAAAAGCGAGTGATTCATATCCCAAAGAGACGAGGAACCTTTCTAACAAACAGTCCGCATAAGGGGGAGCAGGGGGATTGCACAGGATCCAGTCTTCCTCACTCAAAAGCAAATTCACCTTTTTGTAGTAAGTTATTACTCACAAAAACCTAACAGTCACTCACATTCGGGATATCCTAGGAGTTATGTTGCACGCCTCGTTTACAGAGTCAACCGTCATCGCGGCTGCATGTCATCCCCATCTCTCTGCTCCCAATGTCTCCTGTCTCTTCAGCTGTTTCCAATAAGTGCTAAATAATGGCCCAAATATAAACCACCTCTACCAAAGTTAAAGTTTCTAACGACTGTTTTGAGCAGCGGAGACCTCAACAGGTTCTTCCTGAAGTTCTTCACATTATTCTACTTTGAACACAACTTTCTATGTAACTTTATTGTATTAACAATGTTCACTGGTTAGGAAAGCTCACATTCAGACCTGCAGCTGTTGAATGGAGACACCACTGCAGTAACGGCAGCTTGTCGACTTCAGAATCAGAAATACTTTATCAATCCCAGAGGGAAATTATTAATTAATATTAGTTATTAATATTATCTAATATTCAAAATTCGACTTTTCACTGGATTCATCTCTATTTATCTCTAAATATTCGTCTATAGCTACTATTTCTAAAGATGGAAGACAGATCTAAGAAAGATATCGGAATTTTGTTCTCCCTAATATCGGTGTCAATATCGGCCCCAAAAATGTTGTATCAGTTTGCCCGTACTTGACACCTAGCCCATTTTCCACTTCACCACCTCCATAACAAGAATCTACATGTAATATAAAGTCAGGTGTTTGCAGTCAGAATGCACGTGACGCATGTAGTCTCACCTGAAGCTGTCGCCCCCCTCCTCCTCCTCCTCCTCCTGCTCCTCCTTCAAACGGAGGTCTGACTGCTCCTCGTTCTCCTCCATTATTACCACACCTGCACAGCAAAACAGGAAACAAGTTAATTCTACCCCGTAGTCCTCAGTGCAGAATATATATGAACAAAGTGAAAAACATGAATAAATATGATGATAATAAAGCGTTCAGTGTAGGACTGTACATCAAACACGCTTACTGTACCTCCGAGCAGAAGACTTATAAGACGACATAACTTCACACAGGTAACGTTAGCTATCGTTAGTACGGGTTAGTTATGGTTAGTACAGATTAGTTAGGGTTGTTTATGGTTAGTTATTATTAGTTATTATTAGTTAAACGCTGTTGCGATGTTGCCTTTTGATCATTAGAAGATGACGCTAGCTCCGCTGCGCAGCAAACAAACAAACATAAACCGATTTTCGTTTTCTTCAAACATTTAAAAACAGTGTTAAAAACCTGTTCACCGGAGGATCATTTTTACCTGTAATGAATTTGCAGTTCTTGTTGACTTAGTTTCCTCCTTATAATTAGACAGCTGAGCAGCAGGCTGACAGGAGCTAATGTTGTTATGACCCGCCATAAACGGAACACACGATAGCTGCCTTCAAAATAAAAACGTGACATGTGTGGTTCCAAAGCTTTTTTCTGCATGACCCCCCTTTGGCAGATGGAAATATTGATGTAATGTGTTGAATTAAAATAATATTTATCTGGCTGTATATCAAACGCATTTACTTCAATACATTCCACAACTGTTTGTACGTGAAAGAAAAAAAGCATATAATTTTATTTTGGTAAAAGAGATAGAACCGGAAAACAGAGCCCCTTCGGGTGCTGCGTTCACTTACATCACATATGTTCGGAATTTAAAAACTTATGGGCGAATATTGCCCCAAAAAAAATCCTGCATTTATTGCAGAGTAAATTATATTACTTAGTACTAAGATGAGAAAATCTTATGTGGAGACCAACAGAAGTTTACAGGCCCTATAATTAACAGTGACAAATAAGAAGAAAAGCAAATGTTCCGATATTTTAAAACGTTTCTGACCATGAAGCATACGATGGCATATGTCTGCTTTGTTTTTTTCTCTGTTTTTTTAACTCAAAAAGTCGTTTATTAAAACGTTCTTCCGACTTCGTTTCGGTCTTGATGGAGTCTTCATGTCGTTAATTTTCATTGGAGAATGCATTTTACGATAATTCCGACATCACGTGAATGCACTTAAAAGCAGGAAACATGGCGGCTAGGTTTTTCTAGTTGACGCGATCAGCTGGATGTGGCTCAGGTTGCTGTATTCACTGTGAAAGTTGTCAGTGTGACTTCAATATACAAAAAGCATCAGCATGTTCTCAATCCCTTTGACTTTAGCCTATATTATAAAAACATCAAAACACACTGGACAGCGCCCGTGGTTCGATCCCGGTGAGGGATAGAGAGCAGCTATTTCTACAGGAGAAATGTGTTCGAAGTAACCACTGAGCTAAACCAGTGCGAGGACGCTAGGAGGCCATAGAGTTTATAAAGGCTGTTCTTTACGACAGACAGGTGAGCTACACGCTGCCGTAAAGAAAGCATTTCACACAGATTCTGACCATTCAGACAGAAGCTGACACCCTGCTCCTCAGTGAACATTAACAGGACGGTAAAAACACTGGACAGCGCCCGTGGTTCGATCCCGGTGAGGGATGGAGAGCAGCTATTTCTACAGGAGAAAATGTGTTCGAAGTAACCACTGAGCTAAACCAGTGCAGGTAAACTTGGAGGAAATAGAGTTTATAAAGGCTGTTCTTTACAACAGACAGGTGAGATACACGCTGCCGTAAAGAAACTATTTCACACAGATTCAGACAGAAGCTGACACCCTGCTCCTCAGTGAACATGAACAGTCCCAGGGCGGTAAAAACACTAGACAGCGCCCGTGGTTCGATCCCGGTGAGGGACGGAGAGGAATTCAGATAGAATTTGTGCTCGAAGTAACCACTGAGCTAAACCAGTGCGCTTTGAAGAGATAGAAACAGAGGTGATAAAGGCAGCTGGGACTATTTTGAAATCTTGTCCTGTCTTCAGCTGTCCATTTCTTGCTGTGTGCTATTATTTTGAAATAAAATAGGGCACTCACTACATTAAAAACATCAGAACACACTGCCCTTGGTTCAATCCCAGGGAGGGATGGAGAGCAGCTTTTTCTACAGGAGAAAATGTGTTCCAAGTAACCACTGAGCTAAACCAGTGTGATGTCAGGAGACAGAAACAAAGGTGATAAAGGCAGCTGGGA